GGAGATCTCTCCCGTCGACTATTCTGGCGGGAGATGGAGATCTTTTTCGTCAATCCTGACGGGAGATCTTTTTCGTCAACTATGGCGGGAGATCTCTCCCGTCGACTATTCTGGCGGGGGGGAGATCTTTTTCGTCAATTCTGGCGGGAGATATTTTTCGTCAATTATGGCGGGAGATCTTTGATTCATCAACTATGGCGGGAGATCTTTTTCGTCAATTATGGCGGGAGATCTTTGATTCATCAACTATGGCGGGAGATCTGTCCCATCGATTATGACGGGATCAAATCAATACAGGGGGATCGTAGCCGTCCATCCATGCGTGGGATCGAATCCTCTGAAATCACATGTACTCTTCACTTCACATCATGGAGAACCTTTCTGGATGCATCTTTTAACGCAATCAGGACTTCTTTGGATGCATCTGAACGCAATTAGGACCGACTTCTTTGGATGAATGTGAACGCAATTAGGACTGACTTCTGTGGATGCATCCGAACGCAAAAATTAGGATATCTGTGGATGCATCTGAACATTCATATGTTGGCGAAGGTCCAGCAGGTCTGACCTTTCCCTTGTGTACCGAGTGATCTTCACACTATGGAGGTGTTTTGTTTGGATGCATCTGAACGCAATTAAGACCAGTGTCAGTCGAAAAAGTGCCAGTACGCCCTCAGTGAAGGGTCAGGATTGTGCGAAAGCAAGAGACGGTGTGCTAACTCGGACCAGATCACGTGGCCATCTCGAGTAGGATTCTGCCAATTGAAACTGACTCAGGTTTATTCAGTCTCATGGTTTGATTTGATCCCCCTCTTCTAGGGAAATGCCCATTCATTTCTCGTCCAATGATTGATTGAACAATGATTGAACAATGATTGAACAATGATTGAACAATGATTGAACAATGATAACATATATATCCTGTTTGACGGAGATGAGAAAAAGGGTAGGAACATGTGGAATAGGTGTGTTGAAGTGGGGACCACGTGGCATAGTTTCTGAAGCTGGCTGTGCGGAGCAGAGGTCAAAAGTCTGGAAGTCATGTGTAGGTGATCAGGAGGACTTTAGAAATGCGACGTGGTCATTTCCTACAGAAAATTGGCCATGTGGTCCCCACTTGCGCAAGGAGGACGCACACAAATCGGGAAGTGGTCCAAATTTATATATATCGTCATATATCGTCACAAACAGATACAACGCTATAGTGCATCCCAATTTCTTACGATTGCGTATCAGCTTGACGCTGTTGAAAATCAGTTGTTGTTTGACCATAATAGTCCACCTGCAGAAGGTAGTAACTATACTACCTCAGGAGGCTTTACTGTAAATGTCTTACAGTTAGCGTTTCACGGTCGCCACCTTCTTATGCATCATGCGACGCCAGGC